TCAGGGGTCACTGCCCCCGCTTCTCTGTAGAAGATCAGACAACAACATTCATGGTGTTACATTAACATCCACACATAAAAGTACACATCATATTATCGGAGATATTACCGAAAGTCAATGATTCTTTTAGCTAAAGATCGTGTCCCCCGAAGTGGCAGTTTTCATTTTCTTCTCTCAGAGTTTTTTCTTTGAGTGTGGTGGTGGTGGTGGTGAATGTTTTCTTTGAGTGTGGTGGTGGTGGTGGTGAATGTTTTCTTTGAGTGTGGTGGTGGTGGTGGTAAATGTTTTCTTTGAGTGTGGTGGTGGTGATGGTGAATGTTTTCTTTGAGTGTGGTGGTGGTGATGGTGAATGTTTTCTTTGAGTGTGGTGGTGGTGGTGGTGAATGTTTTCTTTGAGTGTGGCGGTGAATGTTTTCTTTGAGTGTGGTGGTGGTGGTGGTGAATGTTTTCTTTGAGTGTGGCGGTGAATGTTTTCTTTGAGTGTGGTGGTGGTGTGGTGGTGAATGTTTTCTTTGAGTGTGGTGGTGGTGATGGTGAATGTTTTCTTTGAGTGTGGTGGTGGTGGTGGTGAATGTTTTCTTTATCGCTGTCTATTATTTAAATTTAATGAGACGATTCATAAGTGTGTCTTTTCATATCCCCCCACATGTTCTCTCTCTCTCTCTCTCTCTCTCTCTCTCTATCTCTCTCTCCTCTCTCTCTCTCTCTCTCTCTCTCTCTCTCTCTCTCTCTCTCTCTCTCTCTCTCCTCTCTCTCTCTCTCTCTCTCTCTCGTCGCTTCTTCACATATTTACATCTCACTAAGGATGATTTAAAAAATATAGAACAACCTTTTTATTTCGTTTATTCATAATGAGACTAACTCCGCATTCTTCCAGGTTTTCCTTATTTCCTTCCATTGCCAACATTTTATTTTTTATTTAAACAGTTGTGTGAAAGAGTGTATAGACATACGCATGATGATACGCAAACAATGGATATGTTTGTGTGTGTGTTTGTGTTTACATTGTGATAGAGACTTTAGAGGATTTTGTAAGTTCTTATATACATGTATGTATTGATACAGAAGATTATGTATGTGATGCTTTTATTCGTGTAAATATACGTGTGAGAGTGAAGTGTAGGATCCTTGAGTGGAGATGCAGAAATGTGTAAGTAAATGAATATTTGTGTTCCTTGCGAATATAAAAGAAGAAAAAATAAAAATAAATGAATAAATGCAGTGTCCATGGTGTAAACAGAAATCACCAAACAAGAAAAATCATTTAAACACAATAAAATGTTCATAAATACATTTAAACAGCTACTTAACTGAACAAATTATATATATATATATATAATACTGAGCACAGTTTTTCTGAGTATCCTCCTCTGTAATAACATGTTCCTGATTATAATAATATTAATGCGCTTCGGTACATATATTATATATGGACAGTGCTTCTTGGGTGGCGAAAATGCTGACCTTGGGGAAGTGGGATGGATTCGTGGACACATTAACCTGGGCAAGGCAAGAGGCTGGGAGCCGGAAAAGAGGTTAGTGAGAGAGGCGAGGCTGACCCTGGGAAAGTGAGGAAAGGGATACATACGGGGGCCCACGGATGGATTCCTGGGCACATGAACCTGAGAAAGGCTGGGTTATTGAGGTGAGACCTCCAGGATTCAAGTCCAGCTAACCGGTTTCCTTAACTACTTTCATAAATGCTACCTTGCTCACACTCCAACAGCACGTTAAGTCATTAAAACCACTTGCCTTTACTCGTCCGTATCTAACACGCTTGCACACAACTGTTGGATATCCAGGCCCCTCGCATACAAGACTCCCTTTATCCTTTCCTTCCAACCTTTCCTAGGACGACACTTACACCTCAGCTACAGAATTATAAACCCTCCAAAAGCATCCTATTTTGCTCTACCCTTTCTAAATGTCAAAACCATCTCAGCTTTCTGGATAATGCATTTAGTAATCCTGCATCTCTTTCTAATCTCCAAACTATGAATTTTTTGCATATTACTCAGACCACAAATTGACCTCAGACACATCTCCACTGCCTTCAGCCTCCTCCTCCCTGCAACGTTTAAAACCCATGATTCGCTCTCATTTCAGAATGTTGGTACCACTATTTTCTCATATATCCTTTTTCGTGCCTCAGTGGATACAATTCTTTTTCTCCAAAGATTATTTAATGCACTATCCACCTTTTTTTTCCCCCTTCGTCAGTTCTATGTACTGTAGATTCCGTCTGACATACCTCTTCCTCACCTCATCTTTCACAGACCTGTCCACTGGCAAGTCTGCTCCCAAATATCTCAACATATTTTCTTCCTCCATACTCTCTCCTTCTCAAATGATATCCACTTTTCATTACCTAAATTATTTGTTATCCTCATCCCCTTGCTCTTTCCTATGTTCACTTTTAATTTCCTTCTTTTACATACCCTCCCATATTCTTCCACCAGCCTTTGTAACTTCTCTTCAGACTCTCCCAAAAGCAATGTGTCATCAGCAAAAAAAGAAACCATGACGACTCCCATTATGTATTAGATTCTTTATATTTTAATCCCAAACCTCACCCTAACATCCTAGCATTCACTTCTCTAACAATATTATCTGTAAATATATTAAACAACTACTGTGTCATCACGAATTCCTGTCTAAGGCCTACTTTCAATGGAAAATAATTTCTCTCTTTCCTATATACCTTAATCTGAGCCTTATTATCCCCATAAAAGTTTTTAATTGCTTCAAGCAGTCTACCAGCTATTCCATACACTTACATCTGCCACATTGCTCCCCCTCCACCCTATCATATGCCTTGTCTAAATCCATAAATGCAACGAAAGCTCCCTTCCATCTATCTAAATGTTATTCACTTATAGACTTCAATGTAAACACTTGATCTACATATCCCCCTACCCTTCCTAAACCATCCTTGTTCACCTGCAGTCCTGCTCTCCGTCTTACCCTTAATTCTCTTTTATCCCTTTTCCTTTATACAAAAGCACTATACACATAGCCTGCTAATCCCTAGGTACCTTCCTCTCTTTCATACATTTATTGAAGAAATGCACCAACAGCTTTCAAAACTAAATCCCTACCTGCTTTTAACATTTCTATCATGATTTCTATAAATTCCAACTGCTTTACCCCCCTTTCATTTTACCCGCAAGCTCACACACCTTCCCTATACTCACATATGGCTCTTCCTCACTCCTAAAAGATGCTATACCTCCCTGCCTAATGCATGAACTCACTGACGTCCTTTTTTCATCAACATTTAACAACTCCTGAAACTATTACCTCCATCTTTCCCTTTACAAAATTTCAAATTTAAATAAACCAGATGCCGTGTATTCTGAGAATTACCAGCAGCCTAATTGATCAAAGACACGAGTTTAGTCTTCGCATGAAATATATAAAACAAAATAAACCGCCTCCTCCCAGACAACGGTGGAAAGGCAGTGTGCAGGAGCGTCATTATTATGTGATTCCTCAAACTGTGGCATGTTCAACAGCAAAGATCATGATCTCGCATATAAATGGTTATGGTGATGCTCAGGTACTTATCATGACGAGTCTCCTGCAGGGTATTATGATGAATCTTCTGCAGGTTATATTATTATTATTATAGTTATACTCAACATTGTCTAACTACTTTCCATTTTTCTCTTGCTAAAATTTTTCGTTTTTATTTCGCTTACAACAAGAGAAGGCTTGAAGTCCTAGAGATCGTTTCTTAAAGTACAATTTAGCACTAAAACAATGGAAGTAATCACAATTGCTGAGGTTTTAACATTGTGCATCGAAAACTTTATATTTTTATTCACTGAGATGATAATAGATCATTACCACTGTAATTTGCTTAGCTGTTAGAACACTGGTGCTCAGTCCCTGGACCCATTATGTGCTCCTGTAATCATTTCACTACCGCCCACAGGATGATTATTGGGTTCATTATAAAACTATTAAACTAACCCACAGAGAAATGGGGCATCCATTCGAAAACCAGAAAAACCAGGAGGCGGGAACAAAGCATAGGATGTGAGGAGAAATGTGAAGGAAGATAATGTGAATCATTATGAAATAGTACAAGACCAGGAGGTAATGATGGTAACTCGTAAAGGTTGATGGAGGCAAATGGATGAAATCGGCAAAAAGCGCAACACTCCTAAAGATTATTTCTTATATCAGGTTGTGGAAAGATAACTGGATTGTTATTCCAGAGAATGTTCATAACTATTTATTAGGTATCATCAGAGGGTGACTAAGTTGTTGCCTTTGATGCCTTTGTTGAGTTCCGAGAGTATTTTTTTTTCACTCCCAAAGCCCTGGGCTAGGCTCGTCTTCTTTCAGCTATCATAAGATGAAGGGCTCATAACTTACAGTTTTCAAGGCGGATTTACAGTAACTAGGGCAAGTTTCAAGCAAATATTGGCCTGTGTAAGTTCCTTATCAAAGTTGCAGAACTCATCCGAAGATTCCAGGAATGGGTCAGCTGACTTTCAAAACCCACTGCAGCTGCCTACCTTCAAACACTCAAAAGTGAAAAATGTAGTATGTAGATACACATTCGTCAATTTTACGTGTAAAATTTTGTGAAATTTTTATTCTTATTTTATCGTGTTAAACAAATTTGAGCCTGTCTTTTCTAAACGGCATCAGTGTTAAAAGGCCGATGGCTATTAAACACTGAAAACAGTTCAGAAAAGAGGGTTGTCTAATTATTAATTTTTTATCTGAGCAATATTTTGATAAGAGTACTGGGAGGTTAAAAATGCTAAATTAGGAAAATAAGTTAATTTAGTTTGCCCAAATTTTTTCATATGAATGAAATCAGATTTAATTCCTTATAACTCTTAGAATATATTTTATAATTCTGAATCAGTAAATCATTGAAAAGTGCGCCATATTGGATCCAATAAGGCGATAAATGCTTTCTGTATAAATATTAAATACTGAAATATTGACCATAAAAAAGGAAAGGTAATAAACATAACAAAATGATTTAAATTTTTTTTGCAATGATACAAGTAATAATAATAATAATAAAACAATTTTACAGGGAACACTTAATGAAATGGAGAAGTAAAGTGGAGACCTCAGTGAGGACAGACATACTAGTTTGTGGAAAGAGAAAAAGTAAATGATGTATGTGTCCTGTGTAATAAGTAAGGCAAAAAAATCTTTTGTGGCAAAAGATAGTGAAGAATTTTTTTTTTTTAATTTATTAGAAACAAGAATTATTCAACATGGAAAGATGATCAGTATGACTGTATAATAATGGTTCACTTATAAACTTACGGCAGCTGAAGATTCGGTGGAATGTGAGTTACTGTAAAAATACAAAGTTAAAAAAAAGGCAAACAGTAGATAAAAGATTTTTAACAAGGGAAAATGAGCCTGATCTGAATGTACAGAATAATTACTTTCTACCTCAAATTCCTGTACACGACGCCAGCAACTATCAAAATGTAACACTGAATCGTATTTTTCTGGTTAATTCTTACATTTACATTTAAATACCATGGAAGTCGTTGAAAAATGAAGACACCTTATTATTTGAAATCACTTTTATTGATCGCCTCGAAATATTACGATTTTTTTTTGTAGCAATTTAGTTGCATTAATTACTTTTCATTTGATTTATAGCATGGCTATATTTAATTTCTCGAAAAAAAAGACGTCCCAAATATATTGGATCAAACATAACTTTTCAATGGTGGTCCAGGATGACCACCGTCACTTTTCTGATTATATTCTTCGTAAGAAACACTATGACACTATTCTTAATACTCTTTCAAAAAAAAAAAATGCACACGAGACATTTATGAGACTATAAATTAGTTAAGAAATTTGGAATTAAAGGAATCTGATCAGCTTCAAATATTAACATCGATGCATTCGATAAGAAGAAAGACAAGCTAAAAATTCACCTAAAAATTACCTAAAAATTAAAAAAATGAAGTCGCTGAAATCCAATCAGTTACCGAAGAACGTCTTATAATATAGCCTTCAAACTTTCAGTGTTCTTGTGCTTCATTAAACAAATTCTTGGGATCCACCTTAAGCTGTGTAAATTTTAATTTTCTAAATAAAATGATGAAATAAATTGGTGAAGCACGGATGAGAAGAACTGATTGTTAATATTGTGAATGAAAGGAAGGTGGATGTTGTAAGACTAACCAAAAGGGATAACAATAAATGTAGTAAAATGAAGTGTGTATCTGAGAGAACAAGAGGTTATGAAAGGTTAGTGGTAATATTTAGTTAACTATGGAAGGACAAGAGGGAATTATATTATTGAAATTCAAGAATTATGTTGATTAAAATAAGGGTGGGATGTTAGAAGTAGGTTATAATATTTATGCACCTGGAGAAGAGGTGTGTAGAGAAGAGGAGCATTTTAATAGATGTTAAGCAAATATTTAGGAAGTTTTGAATCAAGTGAGAAAATAATTGTGGGGACCTAAATGATAGTGGGAGAAACTTTTGTATGTGACATGGGGTGCCACTAGTAAATAATAATGTGGGCCTCTAATATAACTGTGTATACAGAAAGAGGTTCGGTAATAGGCAATGTGTATTTTAGAAGAAAAAAATAGATAAATAAGTTCAGGATATAATATAGGGCATAATGACAGCAGTTTGATAAAAGACTGATGAAGAGACTGGATGTGCATATTTCTGAGAGGTGATATATCAGTTCATTCAGTAGTTGCTACTACGAGCGAAAGAGGTAGATGGCGTAGAGTGGGTAAGAGTGACGAGAACAAGTAATAAGGATGAGGTTGAAGAAGTAATACGTACATTTAGGGATGCAGAGTTAAGTGTTCGGCAGACGTTTATTAGTACCCATAATTCAATATAAATTACTACTAATTACTACGTTTTTTTTCTTTGTAAATTCGCATTAGCAAACATTTTTAAAAGTTCAGTTATAAAAAATTAGAGAACATACCAATAGCGCAGGTAAAAAGTTCAGTACAGACTATACATACTTCCTTTGTATTGTACATAGTTATTTAATAGAACTAATAAAATAAAAAGATTAATAAGAGAAATACAAGTCTAGATGACAGGAGCTCATGACGCTTCAGGCAAAAGTTAATCCATAATTTTCACATCGGACCAATATTCCCGTCCAACATCCCCACGTGACTCCCTAACAGCGTAATTCTTCCCGTGGTCACCATATGAGGAGTAAGTTTTGAGAAAGGGCAGCTCCATCATCTGTTGCTTGTACATGAATAGCAAATAGATCCAGCAATCAATCACCTCGTCCGAGTCTTTCAAGCAAATCTTCTTTATCTGAAAATATAAGCAAAATGAGACTTCCTCACATATATGCAGCAGGTAATAAACATAATAAAGATTTTTTTCATACCTGTAACAACGTTTCTTTAATTACCTAAAAGAAAAAATTTATCACGAACGAGCGATAAAAAATGGAAAATAACTACAGCGGGAGTTATATGACCATTTAACTTCCTTTGTTATTGTTTTGCATCTATTAACGCTCGTTTCCGATTATTGCTCATATATATATATATATATATATATATATATATATATATATATATATATATATATATATATATAATATATATATAGTGTGTGTGTGTGTCGTGCCGAATAGGCAGAACTTGCGATCTTGGCTTAAATAGCAACGCTCATCTCGCCATTTAGGACAAGCGAAAATTTGTATATGCAGTAATTTCGCCAAAATTATTCTGAACCTAACGAAAAAAATATATTTCACTGTGTTTGTTTAGTATTAAATTACTGCAAACAAATCTAAAATATATTTAGTTGGGTTAGGCTAAAATAAATTGTTCTTGTTATAATAAGGTTAGGTAAGTTTTCTAAGATTCTTTTGCTGCAAAGTTAAAAATTTTTACATTAACATTAAACGTATAAGAGAAAATTTCAGAAAGAACTTAATTTTAAATGAGTTCTTGCTAATTGACCAATTTTACATATTCGGCACGACATATATATATATATATATATATATATATATATATATATATATATATATATATATATATATATATATATATATATATATATATATATATATTTTATATATATATAATATATATATATATATATATATATATATATATATATATATATATATATATATATATATATATATATATATAGTACATATAACACTCCACCTCACGATTGTGAGTTACATACACACACACGCACACTATAAACCTCACTCAAGGAAAGGGATCTTGGGGTGAGTATAATACCGAACACATCTGAGGCACACATCAACCAGATAACTGCTTCAGCAGGGTGGCCCGGTGGTCTGGTGGCTAAAGCTCCCGCTTCACACACGGAGGGCCCGGGTTCGATTCCCGGCGGGTGGAAATTCCGACACGTTTCCTTACACCTATTGTCCTGTTCACCTAGCAGCAAATAGGTACCTGGGTGTTAGTCGACTGGTGTGGGTCGCATCCTGGGGGACAAGATTAAGGACCCCAATGGAAATAAGTTAGACAGTCCTCGATGACGCACTGACTTTCTTGGGTTATCCTGGGTGGCTAACCCTCCGGGGTTAAAAATCCGAACGAAATCTTATCTTATCTTATCTAGCATATAAGCGCCTGGCAAGCCTAAGAATAGCGTTCTGATACCTCAGTAAGGAAGCGTTCAAGACTCTCTACACCGTATATGTCAGGCCCGTATTGGAGTATGCAGCACCAGTTTGGAACCCACACCTAGTCAAGCACGTTAAGAAATTAGAGAAAGTGCAAAGGTCTGGAAAGTGACGTAGTGGAGGCAGGGACCATACATAGTTTTAAGACGAGATTTGATAAAGCCCATGGAGCAGAGAGGACCCAGAAGCGATCACTAAAGAGACAGGGCCAGGAGCTATGAATCGACCTCTGCAACCACAAATAGGTGAGTACATACACACTCACTATCGACAAGTACCTTTTTTCAAGCAGTAACGAGCACAACAGATCAAGTAACGAGTATTAACATTATCGTCTCGGAGAAATTAAGTTATTAAATATTAAACCTTCCTGTGTTATTTAATACCCATTGTGCAATAAGCGTTCCCTTACACACTGAACATAGTCATTATACTTTTAAAAAATATAAGAAAGGTATCGGTATCGGCTAAAAGTTTGGTATTGTGTCATCCCTAGTATATACACAGTCGTTAGAAATTTTTTATCTTAATTTGTATGTTAAAGTGCATCATCTCCCTCTTTTAAATAAAATCTATGAAAAGCCGTAAAACATTTGCTGTAAATGTAAAACAACCACGTGGTTGTTACCTAACAACCACGTGGTTGTTACCTAACAACCACGTGGGAAACATTTAGGCAAAAACGCCTCCTCTTAACTTGTTTGATTTGGACTTCGTCCTCTTTTCTACAACATTGCAAGCTCCTTATGTGTTGATTGCAGCACGAACGGCCAAGAGCTATCATTCAGCGCCCCCATTCCCCCGTGGGTGTTTTCTATCTTGTATCGCTTATTCGCTTTTTTTTCTTTTTTTTTTTTTTTTTTTGCATTTACAGTATACATTGAGTATTAGGTTCAACTTCAAGTAGATCTTTCTCGCGCTACGACTAGTGTTGTGGGTGGGAATTTGTAAGTTTCTTAGTGTTGCGCAGCCACTGCCTGGCCACACAAGATTTTCTTATTTGTGGTTCATGCATGATTTTATATGTTCATGTTACCTAACAGAGTTTAAATAAAGAAGATAATATATGTACGCTGAGAGTGAGCAGGTTGATTTAAGACAGGTCTTAGAAAGGGTTTAAAATGAAAATTTACTATTATTGTATATGGAGAGCTTCTGTTATGATACGTGTGAAATCAATCTGTTTAGAAATCTAGTTTGTTGAACACTGTAATATAGGACATAACAATAAATCAACAAGAAAAACAACTGTGCCCCGTGGCCTGGTCGCTAAAGCTCTCGCTTCACAGGACGAGGAGCTGCGTTCGATTCCCAGTGCGTTTAGAAACATTGGGCTTGTTTCATTACACCGGTTGTCTATGTTCACCCATCAGTAAAATGGGTACCTAAGAGTTATTCGACTGATGTAGGTTGCATTCTGGGACAGGGGCCTAATTTTCCCAAAGTGCTTAGCATAACAAGTGGCTTTCTATATAGTAGTATGTCATTGATGTCAGCTAGGACTGTATACCTTGTTCATGTACTTGTAGTATATAAAGATATTAATAATAATATAATAATAATAATAATAAAATATATCTGATACAAGCCAATATAATACATCTTCAGATCATATGTAAGAATGTGAACGGAATAATTAAATGATAAAAAATATAAAACATATCATTATGGAAATGCCAACTCACCTTCCTTTCATAATATTCTGGATGATCTTCCATCATGTCAAGCATTGAGAGCATTTTGTTATCAACTTCGTAGACTTCTCCTTCAATGTTCTAAACAAATCAGTAAACAATGGTTAATTCAGTAAGTATTCTTAGTTTCGAAACTAAATCATTCATTCTTAATTAATGGTTTTATTAACACAGCAAAGGCAAAGGTGATCAAAATAGGAAAAACACATTAACTATTACTCCCTCGCTGTGTTTCCAATGGTTGGTAGGTAAGACACAAAGGCAACAGTTAGGCAACTTTATTCCGAAACGTTTCGCCTACACAGTAGGCTTCTTCAGTCTGTATTCGACTGAAGAAGCCTACTGTGTAGGCGAAACGTTTCGGAATAAAGTTGCCTAACTGTTGCCTTTGTGTCTTACCTACCAACCTGTCGGTATTTTATACCATTTTGATGTTCATCGTTTCCAATGGTATTTGTACATAAATTAAATAGTCAACCATACTACAGAATCTTTACTTTCCTTACGACAGATTCTGATCACTTTGAAAAGTTGTTGGTGAAGCTGGAGGACGACACTGAGTTTAATTAAGTGCAAGAGTACTTTAGTGAAAGACAAGATGTTGTACATAAGAACATAAGAAAGAAGGAACACTGCAACAGGCCTACTGGCCTATGCGAGGCAGGTCCAATTCTCCCACCGGCTTAAGCTAATGCCTTGACTGAGGTCAGACACTTCACCTAAGGAAGGAGCACTGCATCCGACCTATTAGCACAAGCTAGTCAAGTCCAACTCACTCACCCACACCCACTCATGTATTTATCTAACCTATTTTTAAAACTACGCAACGTCTTAGCGTCTATGACGGTACTCGGGAGTTCGTTCCACTCATCCACAACTCTATTACAAAATCAGTGCTTTCCTATATCCTTCCTGAACCCCTAATTCTACGCCTTTCTAGAGAGTGCAGATTCAGGGCCCTCAGTCTATCCTCATAGGGAAGATTTCTGATACGTGGGATCAGCTTTGTCATCCTCCTTTGTACGTTTTCCAGTGCATTTATATCCATTCTGTAATATGGTGACCAGAACTGTGCAGCATAGCCTAAATGAGGCCTAACCAAGGATATATAGAGTTGAAGAACAACCTGAGGACTTCTATTATTTATACTTCTTGCTATGAAGCCAAGGATTCTGTTAGCTTTATTGCGAACACTAATGCACTGTTGTCTTGGTTTTAGATTACTGCTAACCAGAACTGCTAAATCCTTTTCGCAATCCGTAATATTAAGATCTACATTATTTAGTTTATATGTGGCATGGTTATTTTCCTGTCCAACATTTAGAACTTTGCATTTGTCTATATTAAGCTGCATCTGCCACTTCTCCGACCACTGCATCAGTCTATTCAAATCATCCTGGAGTGCTCGAATGTCCTCGTCAGAATGAATTGGACGGCCTATTTTGGTGTCATCAGCAAATTTGCTTACGTCGCTATTTATTCCTTCATCTATGTCGTTTATGTAGATTGTGAACAACAAGGGGCCCAACACTGTCCCCTGAGGAACACCGCTTGTGACGTGCCCCCATTCTGATTTCTTCCCATTTATGCAAACTCTCTGCTGCCTATTTGTCAACCATGCCTCTACCTGGAGTTTACGTGGAAAGGGTTTCGGGGATCAACGCCCCCCGGCCCGGTCTGAGACCAGGCCTCATGGTGGATCAGGGTCTGATCAACCAGGCTGTTACTGCTGGCCGCATGCTAGCTGACGTACGAACCACAGCCCGGTTGGTCAGGTACTAACTTTAGGTGCCTGTCCAGTGCCTTCTTGAAGACAGCCAGGAGTCTATTGGCAATCCCCCTTATGTATGCTAGGAGGCAATTGAACAGTCTTGGGCCCCGGACACTTACTGTGTTGTCTCTCAGTGTACTCGTGGCGCCCCTGTTTTTCATCGGGATAATGTTGCATCTCCTGCCGTCGTTTGCTTTCATATGGAGTGATTTTCGTGTGCAGGTTTGGTACCAATCCCTCCAGGACCTTCCAAGTGTATATTATCATGTATCTCTCTCGCCTGCGTACGAGGGAATACAGATCAAGGACCTAAAACCGTTCCCAGTAGTTTAGGTGCCTTATCGCACTTATGTGTGCCGTGAAAGTTCTTTGTACACTCTCCAGGTCTGCAGTGTCGCCAGTCTTGAAGGGGGCCGTTAGTGTACAGCAGTATTCCAGCCTAGAGAGCACAAGCGATTTAAGGAGAATAATCATGGGCTTGGCGTCCCTAGTTTTGAAGGTTCTCATTATCCATCCTATCATTTTCCTAGCGGATGAGGTTGATACATTGTTGTGATCTTTGAAGGTGAGATCCTCTGACATTATCACTCTCAGGTCCTTCACATTATTTTCCGCTCTATTGTATGGTTAGAATTTGTGGTATACCCTGACACATTTTTAATTTCTTCAAGTTTTCCGTATCTGAGTAGTTGAAATTTCTCCTCGTTGAACTTCATATTGTTTTGAGTGGCCCATTCGAAGATTTGGTTGATGTCCGCTTGGAGTCTAGTGGTGTCTTCGATGGAGGTCACTGCCATGGTGATCTGGGTGACATCAGCAAAGGAAGGCACGGAGCTATGGCTTACATCTCTGTCTATGTCAGAAATGAGGATGAGGAATAGAATGGGAGCGAGTACTGTACCTTGTGGAACAGAGCTTTTTACCATGGCCGCCTGGAACTTTACTCTGTTTGCTATTACTCTTTGTGTTCTATTTGTCAGGAAGTTGTAGAACCATCTACCAACTTTTCCCGTTATTCCTTTATCCCGCAAGTGTAACACCATGGTCACACTTGTCGAAAGCTTTTGCAAAGTCTGTGTATACTACATCTGTTTTTTTTTTTATTCGCCGGTATTCTCCCGCCCCGGGTCTTTTCCAAGTAGTGGTGACCCGGCCTTGGCTCCCTATCTGGGGAGTGTCTCGAGACGTAAGTCTCCCATGGGAGGAGGTAAAAGTACCCCCTCATCTTTGGGACCAACTGTCCCCAGGCCCAGCCACATTCCCCGCCCTCACGGGGCTCGTAGGGAGAAGCTAGGCCTCTGGTCTGCCATCTGCCCCGCCCCAAAGGGGCTCGTGGGGATGGCAGTCTTACCACATCTGTATTTTGTTTATCCTCTACAGCATCCAGGACCTTGTCATATTGGTCCAGTAGCTGGGACAGGCAGATCTAAACCCGTGTTGCCCTGGGTTATGTAATTGATGGGTATCTAGGTGGTTGGCTATCTTGCTTCTTAGAACCCTCTCAAAAAATTTTATGATATGGGATGTTAGTGCTAACGGTCTGTAGTTCTTTGCAATTGTTTTACTGCCACCTTTGTGGAGTGGGGCTATGTCTGTTGTTTTTAGTGTGTGGGGGATGACCCCTGTGTCCATGCTCCCTCTCCATAAAATGCTGAAGGCACGCAATAGGGGCTTCTTGCAATTCTTGATGAACACGGAGTTTCACGAGTCTGGGTCTGGGGCAGAGTGCATGAGCATGTCTCTTCAAAGTCTTGTGGAGTTATAATAATATCCGAGATTTTTGGGATGGCAAAATTTTGGGTTTCGTTCATGAAGAATTCATTTGGACTGTCGACCCTTAGAGTGGGCAGTGGCTCGCTAAACACTGAGTCATATTGGGACTTTAGTATCTCACTCATTTCTTGGCTATCATCTGTGTATGTCCCATCCTGCCTAAGCAGGGGCCCAGTACTGGATGTTGTTTTTCCCTTAGATTTGGCATAAGAGATGAAGTATTTTTTTTTTCTATTTCCTTTATGACATTTAGTTCTTCCTGTGATTCTTGTCTCATATAAGATTCCTTCAGCTTAAGTTTGATATCTGCAATTTCATTGACTAGTGCCTCCCTTCGTATTTCAGATATATTGACCCCACTCAGCAGCTTTGTGACTCTTCGCCTTCGTCTATATAGGGAACATCTCTCTCTTTCTAGTTTACATCTTCTCTTTCTTTTTCTTAATGGAATGTGTCTTGAGCAGATCTCAAGAACCACAGAATTCATTTTTTCAAGGCAAATGTTCGGATCCGTGTTGTTTGGGATATCTTCCCAGCTTGTTTCATTTAGGACATGATTTACTTGATCCCATTGTATGTTGAAATTGAATTTCGTGAAGACTGCTCACATTTTGCTGGTCCGGAGCCCTGTGCATACATGTCTGTACCTCTATTATGTTGTGATCTGAGTGAATTGTCTTTGAAACAGTTATATTACGTATCAGATCGTCATTTAGTGAAGATGAGGTCCAGCATATTTTCTAGTCTTGTAGGCTCTACTATTTGTTGGTATAAGGTTAATTTGTTGCAGAGATTTAGTAGTTCGTGTGTATGTGAATTTTCATCTGAGCTGCCTCCTGGGGTGTTCTCTGCTAAAACATTGTTTGCTATACTCCTCCATTTTAGGTGTCTCAGGTTGAAATCTCCTAGTAGTAAGATGTTTGGGGCAGGAGTTGGGAGATTTTCCAGACAGTGGTCAATTTTCTCAAGCTGCTCCTGGAATTGCTGGGAAGTTGCATCTGGAGGTTTGTATACTACCACAATGACAAGGTTTTTAGTTTTCGACCTTTACCGCCAAAACTTCTACCCAGGAAAAAAAAATCTCCTCCAATTCCGTGTGCCTTAAGTTTCCTCAATAGCCTCTGATGTGGAACTCTATCGAAAACCTTACTGAAGTCCGTATGCACAATATCATATACAATACCATGATCTACCTCCTCAAATACCTTAGTGGAGAAAGTTAGTAAACTCGTAAGACAGGAACGCCCCTTTGTAAAACCGTACTGAGATTCATTAATCAATTTATGCCTTTCGAGATGGCTACGAATTGCTTCGGTAATTATTGATTCCATAAATTTTCCCACTATGGGGGTAAGGCTTATTGGTCTATAGTTCGAAGCTAAGGACCTGTCACCTGCCTTGTAAATAGGTATTACATTTGCCATTTTTCATTTATCAGGCACTATGCTAGTTTCTAGTGATATGTTGAAAAGATTAGCCAAAGGTATGCTAAGTTCCTCTTTACATTCCGTTAACACCCTTGCAAACAGTTCATCAGGGCCTGGGGATTTGTTAGGTTTTAATTTCTCTATTTGTCTACGAACCATATCACTAGTTACCGCAATCGTGCATAGTTTATTATCGTCCTGTTCTACATAATGTATTATTTTTGGAATTTCGCTAGTATTTTCCTGGGTAAAAACTGAGAGGAAGTAATAAAAATTTCACACATATCCTTATCACTGCCAGTGATCTGACCTGAGTTACTCTTAAGTGGGCTTATCTTGCCCCTAATCTTACTTCTGTATACCTGAGAGAACCATTTTGGGTTAGTCTTCGAACCCCTTGCGACCTTAGCCTCATAATCCCTTTTTGCTTCTCTTATTCCTTTTTTTTCATTTCTCTTTTTAATTGAATATATTGATTTCTTAACTGCCCTTCTCCTCTTTTGATACGTCTATATATGCTTGTTGTAGTAGATTTGAGGTTCTTAAAGGGAGGTCGTGTTGAATTTACGCTGGAACTCGCATTCCAAGCTCAGGGTCAGTTCGGCTGTTGTGAGCAATTTTTTCATCATTCTGCATGTGTAAATGCACTTTTATGTCATAATTCCTCAGTCTAGTGGTTATATAACTGATGCCGTATTTGATGGTAAAAAAAAGTCTTCAGTATCAGAAGTTATGGTACTTGTCTCCATTCAGTTCAACTTGACACGCTAATGTTGACTGGGTGATCAAACCTGCTATGTCCTACCGCTCGCAACTGTCTTCAGTCCTCCTTCAAAACTTTATACATGCAAGCATGGAGGAAAAAGGGAAAATGTATCAAAGTATAGTGGTACCAACACTATTATATGAGCACGAAGCATGGGCTTTAAACATTGCAGAGAGGAAGAGGCTAGAAGCAGTGATACATATATATATTTGAGGGACATGTGTGGTATGAATATTATGCAGAGCTGTAGGAGCATAGAAACCAAAAGGCGGCACGGGTTACCGCAATTCAGAGGGCTCAGGAAGGAGTTGTTAATGTGGTAAGGGATTATAGAGATGGAGCAGTATAGGAAGACCGGGAAGGAATATAAAACTAGGATGAAAGGATAGAGGGGCCGCAGTTGTTCCAGGAAGGGCTGCTGGGAAGAATTAAAGGAATTTTTGAGTGCTAGGGTTACGAGCATCCAGCAGACTTGTGTAATAGAGTTAGATCAGTGAAGACAATTTGCGTTTGTACCTTTATGTGCTGTTGAAGTGTAAGCAAGGTAACATCATGTGCAGTTGAAGTGTAAGCAAGGTAACATCTGTGAAGGGATTATATGAAACCTGTTAGCTGAACTTGAGTCCTGGAGTTGGATAGCATAGTGCCTTCACTCTAAAGGACGGGTGAGGATGTTGCAACACTGAGAGTTTATCTAAACTATTATGTCACCGCACTTCTCGCAGGACAGCAACTGAGTGAATGATGATTAGTTCGTTTCCTCCTTTTTTCAGATAAGGTTAGATATACTGGGGGTTGAGTTTGGTTGGGTTTCATTGGATTTAGGCAGATTGGGTTACCGAACGTAACCTAACATAGCAGTGTCTGTCACAGGCTTCGCAGCAGGGACGGATCTAAAGGATTGGCCAGGGATGCCATACTTTCCCTTGTGCCACTCAGAAAGATATTTTCCTTTTTTTTTTGAAGAAAAAAATCCTTTCAATTTGCATTGAATGTTATTACTCATTAACGTGCCACTACTATATAAATCAACATTTATTGAAATTTAAAACCCCAAGAATTTATAAAAATCGTGCATGTTTCCTCTCCGCCTCCAGTCTGCAGAAGTAAAGACGGTCCCATCCCTTGACAGTTCCTGGATCCGTCCCTGCATCCCAGTCACATACAATATAACCATTCTAACAACTGATTCAGCTGAAGAGAAGTAATGGAAATAATGCTGTATATACAAGCCTTCCAATACTGACATTGGCCCCTAGTGGCTACGTATTTGTATTATTATTTCGCCTAGTGGGGAATCCTCGGGACAGAATTTCCTCTGTGGCCGTAAGGCTATGTCAGGTTGACTAGAGTTTGGTACACAAACACCAAATTGCCTTTGAGTCTAATAAAAAAAATCAAAGTGCTGCGTAAAGGTGTAATCTGAGGTCATTCCCCAGATATTGTATGATCCCTACGGCTAAATTTAGTATTTCCACTCTAAATAAAATAACAAAGCGCCAGCTGCATCTTGTTTCATCTTCTACTGTTAAGAAGTTTGATAAAATATTTAAGACATAAAACTGAATTCAGAGTTTAATACAGCACTACCTTACCTCTCCTATGTCAGGAGCAGCCAAGACATAGGGAATGTTGAAACGTGATCCTATTACTAGTGGATATTTCTCTTGCGTTGTCCCTTTACTTATTAGTCTTGCCTCCCCATTTTCTTTATTTGTCAGCCAGTGGTGGTTAGGCTCATTTCGCTTCAAAGTCCCATAGACAAAGACTAAGTGCCGAATCATAATTCTGTAAAATAAGAAATTCAGTAGTGTAAATTATAAACAAAATACCATTTTGTTTACATATAAATAAGTACTGATTAGTGCAATAAATTTCCTAATTATCATGTACGACTGTTCGTTATGTTAGCACAGCATCTATACCCTGAGGGATGTATTTTCCTCAGCGAATATATGCTGAAACTTTACTCTAATCCTTATTTTAGGGATTAAAGTATTCGTCTCTGTTTTCGAAAAGGTTACGCGCAGTCTTAATGACCTTAGTGTAGTCGATAGGCTTTAAACCCCATTAATCAACCAACCTTCAGAGTAATTTAAAAAAAGGTTGATCAAAACTAAACAGTAAGGTGCTGGATTGTTAGGTTGTAAGTTTATCAACTGAACTAGCAAACGAGTTTGAAGAAAGTAGAATAGTACATATAGGAACTAGATAAATATATCAGCGAAGAGAGCAACAAGGTCATTAGATAGCAAGATGTTGTTACTGCTAGATTGATGTAAGGTTGTAAGTATCTCTGGCAGTACGGTTTATATGAAAATGTCAATGACATAAAATGCAAAGTATGTGGGCTGAGACATGGCCATACACTGGAACATTATATCCTAGTGTCCAAACATCCAACCTTTCAGATTATAATCACAGCTGAGCGCTAAACTCACAAGGGTCATACAGCGCTGCAGGGTAGGGTAAGGTGTGCTAAAGGTGTAATGTGCTTGATCGGAGAACAGCGAGGGTGAAGAGCTAGTAAGGCCGGTGAAGAATGCTAAAGGAAGTATAATCAAAGTTGATGTAATAAATATGTTGCTGACAAAAAGTCAAAGAGGGAGTCGGAGTCTGTGTCAAAAGTGGGGCCGTCAGCGAGGAGGGAAGATAAAGAGTGTTAGAGCAGTGATGACATCAGAGGTAAATTCTGCATACCCGCTAGTAGACAGGACAGTCTAATAGAATATGGCAAACTGATATTGGAACTTGACAATTCTCATAGTGGTACTGGGCACCTCTCCATGAGATACCCATGAGTGAGACGTGTGTGCCCGATCACAACATCGATGATAAGACCAGAAACCTAAACAAGGCTTAATAGTATATAATTTGTTATGAATAAACTCAGACCAACGTTGTTGCCAACAGTTGTGAAGATGGCTAGAGATTACAGCAAAATTGTCTGAGAATGGAATACGCCTATACGAAACGTGAAAGTCGTGTACCTCTGAAAACGCAGCAGAGTCCACCTACTCGTTGCTCTTTGCCCTGAACATCTACATGTCCAGGGACCCAGCAAAAAAAAAAAAAAGATTCCTTTGTGTTTGCTAGAAATGCGGCGCAACCAAGGTTGTATACCAAGAACTAGGGGATGAAGCGAATTAAATTTTTCGATAGCCTGCAAAGCAATAAAGGAGTTTGAAACTACCACGAATGTTGAGGCAGGACCAACCTTGCAGAGACACCTCCATGCAAACCCTACCGGAAATAGCAAAACACCTCATTGTTAATGATAAGTTTTCTGAAATCTCAAGGTTGCCTAGTTGAATGAACCGTCTTTATAAAGGAGAGTGTAACCCAATTGTGACCAATATATTTCAGTGGTAATAAAATATAATTTTTTTAAATTGTTTTCCATACTGTATTGTGTACATTAGCTATATAATGTAACTGTAATATATAAAATGACTAATATTTCTCTCTAGTGACGCAACAGTGCTCAGCAGGGTCTGACAAAGACCCACTGCTACCGCTCACGGGATGAGCTGCGGGTACACAATAAATTAGGCCGCTTGGACACTACACCTAACAGTGATTGTCTTAGTGTAGTACAGAGCAATTAAATTTAGGAAGCAAGAATCACCTTGTGATCAAGATAAGAGATATGTCAGAAAAAAATTAAGAGTTTACCCGATTGTGTTTTAATGATCACCAAATCACAGGGGAAAGAGCAGTTGAAGAGGCGAAGATGTTGGGAATTGAAATGAAATTCCCTTACATGGTAACGGAAATTCGATCATAAATACTTGAGGAGGAACACCGATAGCAGGAGCTTATTGTTACGACAGCGACCCTCAGATAAATTATTATTATAATCAAAAAGAAGCGCTAAGCCACAAGGGCTATACAGCGCTGCAGGGTAGGGAAGGAAGCGAGGGTATTGGATGGCAGAAGGGAGGAGGGATGATCAGTAGGTTACAGAAAACAGCGGGGCAGGGGATAGTACGGGGGTAGAGGGTAGCAAGAGATTGAAGCAGAAAGGGCTGAAGGTATCAGAATTTGTGAAGTAAGTCAGTTGTTGTCAAAAAGTCAATGAGAGAGTCTGGATGAAAGGTGGGTCCATCAGTGAGAAGGGAAGGTAAAGAGAGAGCAGCGGAGCGAAGATGACGACGGAGGTAAATTCTGTGTGCTCGTTGATAAAGTGGGCAGTCCAACAGAATGTGGCTGACTGATAATGGAGCTTGGCAATTCCCACAGAGAGGAGCAGGGCGCCTCTCCATGAGATATCCATGAGTAAGACGAGTATGGCCAATGCAAAGACGGGAGAGAATAGTCTCCCAACCTCGACACTGGTGATAAGAAGACGGCCAGTAACCTATACTCGGTTTAATAGATTGAAGTTTGTTGCCGAGCATAGGAGACCAACGTTGTTGCCAACGGGTGTGAAGGTGGGAAGATATTGCAGCAAAATAGTCTGTAAATGGAATACCTCTATGTGAAACTGGTAGGTCATGTACTGCTGACCGCGCAGCAGTGTCTGCCTGTTCATTGCCCTGTACGTCAACTTGACCAGGGACCCAACAAAAAACAATGTCTTTATGCTTGGTAAAGATGTGGCATAGCCAAAGTTGGATATGGAGGACTAAGGGGTGAGGTGTATCAAATTTCTGTATAGCCTGTAAAGCACTAAGGGAGTCTGAGACAACCACAAATGATGACACAGGCATAGATGCAATACGGATAAGTGCTGTAAGGATGGCATACAATTCAGCAGTAAAAATACTAGCCGAAGATAGTAAATGCCCTTGTACGACGCTGTCCAGGAACACTGCTGCGAATCCTATGCCGTCAGAAGACTTAGAGCCATCTGTGTACACAGCAATGGCATGAGAATGAGAGTGAAAGTGGTCAAGAAAAGGAGAGCGGGAAGCGACCGTAGACAGTTGGGCTTCCGAGCAAGGGAGAGAGAAAGAACAGACTCGAACAGCTGGAACTTCCCAGGGGGTTAGGGAAAAGTGAGATGCTACATGTACATAGAAAGGTGGTAATTGAAGAGAAGACAAGAGCGAATGAAGGCGAAGAGAGAAGGGATGGAGTAAACAGGGGTGGTGAACAAATAAAGAATGTCTACTAATATCAGTGACCATTCTATAAATGGAAGGATTGCGGAGATCATGAGAGCATACATAGTAGCGAAGGCAATGGGCATCACGGCGATCAGATAAGGACGGAACGTTCGCTTCTGCATAGAGGCTCTCGACAGGGGAAGAGCGAAAAGCACCAAGGCATAAACGGAATCCTTGGTGATGAATGGGTTTAAGGCTAGAGAGAGTAGCAGGAGATGCTGCTGAATAGATCTGGTCACCATAATCAAGTTTCGATAAAATGAGGGTATAATGTAGGCGAAGGAGAGTTCGATGATCAGCTCCCCAGGAAAGATGAGCAAGGGTTTTAAGAAGGTTCAGCCGGCTGTGACAAGTTGCCTTCAGAGAGGTAATGTGAGGTTTCCAGGATAACCTACGGTCAAAGAGGAGGCCCAGAAACTTGACTGTATCACGTTCAGGGATACGGGAGCCATAGAGGTACAAAGGATGATCGGAGATGACAGAGCGTCTAGTGAAAGTAATTTGGTGGGTTTTAATGCTGGAAAATTTAAACCCATGTGTGGTGGCCCAATTGGAAACACGGTCGACTGCACGCTGGAGAGAAACTGTGATGAGGTGACAGTCAGCGCCTGCACAGGCAATAGCGAAGTCATCAACATAGAGTGATGACCAAATATTTGATGGAAGACTAGAGGCCAAATCATTAATAGCAAGGAGAAAAAGTGTTGTGCTCAGAACACATCCCTGGGGGACACCTTCAGCTTGGATAAAGTCCGGGGAGAGCACATTATTAACCCGAACACGGAAATGCCTGTCAGTTAAAAAGTTCTTAAGGAAGGATGGTAGATTGCCTCAAAGGCCTAAGGAGTGGGCTTGGGCTAAAATATTATACCTCCAAGTTGTGTCATATGCCTTCTCAAGGTCAAAAAATACGGCAATAACTGAGTGGTTATTCGCAAGGGCATTACGAACATACGTATCCAAGCGTAGTAAGGCGTCTATGGTAGAACGTCCCTTATGAAAGCCATATTGACGAGTGGAGAGACTGTTATGTGTCTCTAAATACCACACTAAACGTCTATTTACTAGGCGTTCCATCACTTTGCAAACTGCACTGGTAAGTGCAATGGGACGATAGTGGGAGGCTTCATGTCCCATAGTGCCTGGTTTGCAGAAAGGGAGAACAATGGCAGATTTCCACAGCTGTGGAACAACTTCTTGTGACCAAATAAGATTGTAAAGGCGTAATAGGACTGCAAGGACTGACTGATGTAAATGTTGTAGCATACGAATATGAATGTCGTCGGGCCCAGCTGCCGATGATCGGCAAGCTGAGAGTGTTGCCTCCAGTTCTTCAAGTGTAAAAGGCACATTATACTGTTCTTCTCTGAGAGAAGAAAAGTCCAAGGGTGCTAACTCTCTGGGAGACTTTGAGGAAAGAAATGAGGGGCATAGATGGAGTCCCTGAGAAATACGGACCAGATGATTGCCAATTTCATTGGCAACATCTAGTGGGCTTGCTATATCAACACCGGCAACCCGCAGAACAGGAGCCGGGTCAGGAGAATATATACCACTCAGTTTTCGTACTTTTCTCCAGACTGCACTCATAGAGGAAGCAGAGGTGATGGTGGAGACATAATCTCGCCAGCAAGTGCATTTAGCGTCATGGATGACACAGCGAGCGATCACACGCTT